CCTAGAAGATTTTCACTCTTATTTTATCCTATAATTTTTTTAAGTACATTTTTATGCAGACTAGCTTGTGGAAATTCCTCAGTAAAAAACTTTTACGTTGTTTGACTAAATTGTTTGACCTGGCCACAGCTGGAACATTTCGTTAAGAGTTACTATTTAGAAATTGCATGACAATTTGCTGTTTTATCCCGTGTTGTTATTTTTCTTTTTTTATCGGCGCACCTGGGTGCACAATAAATATATAAATAAATGACTCTATGTTTGATCTTAACTTTTCAACGCAGCGGTACATATACATCATCAAATAAATGTGAACATGTTGATGTACTTCAAGGTGCGACGGCTATTGTACCATTGTAGAATTGTATAACACATTTGCATTTCCTAAGAACTTTATCTACATGGCAGTTTTGACAATTCCAGTCGTAAGAGAAAATGCAGAATGTCATAATTGTGAAGAACGGTATACCCTCCATTAAGCAGCTCCTACATAACCGGATAACTGGCAACCGAGGCGATACCACAATGATTATTGCGATTACGTGCCATACGAATGTAACCGTCATCTCCCCAATCCTTGCTCCAACTAGGAATAGATCAGCCATATTTCAAGAGCCAAAATCACTTGTTCGAAGATTTTCTTGCCTATTTTTGACGAGCCAGTAGTCTCTTCCTTCCTCATCGGTACCATATCCAACGACAAGAACACCATGATTGAGATCTTCGGAGGAGCAATTTTCGTCATAGTAGACACCTAAAGCATACAGCATTTCAAATCCAACTTTAAACATTTTCCTTTCTTTTGATTGATTGCTATTTCCCACATTTTCTGATGTGTTAGTATTTTGTAGAGGCTATGGAAACGTTGCAAACAGTTATGACAAAGACGTCTTATTGTCAGTGGACAGACAAATGTACTCTTCTCAGGTTTTGGTAGACTTTGGTAGTAGACCCCAATGACGCCAGCCCCGCCCACTCAATGAAAGTGGGCGGGGCTGGCGGACTTTTGAAGAGCATTTTTCAGGACTTAGCGCATGAACTAGTAGGTAAGGTTTGCGCTACGTGTACTCAAGGGGTCTACTACCTAACTCCACCAAAATCCGAGAGGGTCCATGCTGCCTGTCCACTGCCTTTAAACAGCCTTTGCGGATCTCTAGGAACCTTTCTGTATGGGTTGGCTTCGGGGTTGAAGTTACACTTGGCATCTTGTCATGTCTCTTTCTATAGTTGCATTATAGTGTTAGGAAGTTTTGCCCTTCCAAAAATTTTAAAAATTTGCTGAAAACTTCTGTGTTGAGATTCTCAGACTTGCGATTCCAAGAGATGTACATATTTTGAAAAAAAAGTTTGATTAGTGTGGTCAAATTTTCATTGATCATAAGGAGAAATATCGAGATTAATGTCATCACGCCCTCTAAACTAGAGATTATGCAAAGTGGAATGTATGTGTGGGATAAGCCGTCCTAAGTCATTCAGTTAAGAAGTTAGCTCCCAAAGAGTTTTGACGCAATAATTACTCCAGCGCAAAACTTCCAAGAGTTCCTTTCGTAATTCTGTAGATGTATAGCAGACTGCGAAAGAAGGGTGACAGAGATGTGCCTAAATTTGACTGTTAAAATAGCTTTTTTTACTGCTCCCACATCATTTGCGGGACAGGTGAATGGTGCAAACCGCGCTCTATGGCCATATTTAACGCGTCATTGCCAGCGCCTGAAGCGCGAATTCTATCGACGGAAGGGCACAAGAAGATTAATTTGAATTTGCTAGGCCATATATCTGATCTTGCCTACCTTTTCTATATAGCATGAAGCTAAATCGACTCGCGTCAATGGCTACTGAAATTGGTCCCTTAGTTGCAACGGCGACCTGTAAAAGCCTTTTTTCACCCTTCTATTGAAGTATTGTACGAAACTCTCACTTTTAATGCATTTTCATCTCCTTTGGGAAGATCTACAAAGCCAGTAATATTTGCACCAATGTTCTCCTTTGTGAAATGACATTTAGATTCCTGCATTTAGCACATAGAAAAAGAAAAAACGGGAAGGTGTAACTGACATTGCCAAAGTAAGGATAGCTTTCCTCTGTATCGATGCCATGATTATCTTTGACATACTCGAAAGCGTTATCCATAAGGCCTCCCCCGCAACCATCATTTCCATAAGCAAAGGAGCAATCCACGAGATTTTGTTCGGAAAGATATACCTGCAATAGCGTCGAAATTTTATTTTGAATAGCTGATTGCATAGGTCACCAGTTTTTTCGTAAGACGGGCATGCTGCCCTTCGAGGGCTCCAGTTGCTGAGAAAGCCCAACAAGATCCGCATTCTCCCTGGTACTTGACCGCACTGACGACTCCTTTTTCTCTCCAGTCAACCGTGTCAGGTACCTAAAAAATAAAGAACTTGCGCTTT